TAGAGATTTTGTGGTGTTTTTTTTTTTTTTATAACCAGACAGATATCAGTAACCTACATCTCACTAAAGAAAGGCTTTATCTTCTCTTTTAAAAGGTTCTCTATATTTTTATCCAGGGGCTAAAGTAGGCAGAAGGGAAACATTGGAAACAGCAAAAGAGAGAACAGGCAGTTCTGGGAAAGTGCTACAAGAGCTCTCTTTCAGCTCTAACATTATTACTGTTTTTTTCCCTGCCCTTTTGCTTCTGCACCCGGCTGCCTGACTCCATCTCTCTTTGGTTTATTTCACCAGAAATAAAAGCTGTCACAATATTTCCTCTCCAAGTGCCACTGTGTGTTAGGTTCCAGCTCCTGACATGTGCATGAAAGACCAGATCCATCGGATGCATGTGAAAATGGAAGCTTTAAAATGGCTCTGTGTGCCATTGCACACGCTTTGCCGTGCTGCGTCACTGAAGAGCTGTCTTTTCAAAGGTTCACTTTCAAAAGGAGAGACTGATCCTGGTGGTGACACACTTAAAACTGCTGAGTGATCTTTTCAGGAGCCAGGCAGGGAATGCTGCCTGCAGCCTGCCTCAGCAGGGCAGGCCAAGGGGCCGAACTTCATCCTTCAAACTGCGTCACAGCACCAGTATCTTCACTGAATTCGGTTTTCAAACACTTTTCCTTTACTTACTTTAATCCCTTTCTTGGGGGCAAAGTCAAATCTTCCTTCCCTGGCTTTGATCTCAGCTCCTGACACTGCCTTTCCAGAGCATTAGCTGGGAAACAGGAGCAAAGACAGAGAGAGATGATAACCCTGTGATGGGGAGCTGGACCAATCTGGGTTTTCTTACGAGTTTGTGCCCTGCAGCCCTGCACTGCTTTCTGTGTACATTACTTTCTGCATCTACAAAAGCTTTTTAGTCTTGCATGAAATGTAATGTGAAAAAGAGTGATTAATTTTGGTTAGTATGAGCCTACAGAACAGGCTATTTTACTGGGGATCACAGAATCATTAGGGTTGGAAGGGACCTCTGGAGATCAGAATGGTGATACGGTGAGCTGCAGGCACCATTTATTCATCTTGGCCCATTTACTTTTCAGTTTTAGCAGTTCCTTCAGCTTTGATTGCACTTAAAGATTTTTCTAGGCAGCAGATCATATGTTCTATACAGACTGACAGGTCTGTAGTTCTGGCCAATGCATCATTCCTGCTACAGAAGAGCCGTGACAGAGATGTCACAAATGCTGATGGCCAACATTGGGATGGACCCTGCTCTCACCATAGATGGGGGATTTTGTCCTTGGTTTCAGCAAACCCCAGCTGACATGGCATGCGAAACCAGAATACATACAGTGCCTTTTCTTAATACTGCTATTTGAGCCTGTGGTTCTATAGTGACAGAAGAAATAAAAATGCTATAATAGCATTGCACAGCATATGACAGCATAGGGCAAGGCCGGACAGGGCTATTTCTCTGTCCACCAGGAGATGGCAGTGAATATGCTGAGTATGGGGTTCTTTTCCCCCTTTATTTCACTTGCGCACACTCCCTGAAGGATAACGGGTCCTTTGAGGACAGCTGAGCTGTAACGCTTTCAGTTCTGCTTAATTTTCTGTTCCTGTTGCTTACGTTTACATCGTCTCCATCCCTCCTTCCTCAGCACAAACCCCCTGCACCCAGCGTCTACTACTTACCTTTCCAATGCCAGTGGCTCATCCCTACAGAGGTGCAAAGCAATGTCACGGACACTGAACAGCAATAAGTGGGATGGCAGAAAAAGGGGGTACACATTGTGAAGCTGGCAGGCAGTGTGTGTGCACTGAGTGCACAGCCTTGATGGGGGTGCTTTCCTGACCATGCTTGCTTCAAAGGAAAATGCTTCCTTGTGGCAAAACTGGATTGACATTTAGCTTCTAGATTGCAGCCCTGACGTTCTCAGCTGGACAGAGGATGACAGGAGATGCATCTCCTTGTCTGTATCAAGCTCATGTGCCTTTGGGCCATACAACTCACAGCACTCTGAGTCTCCTGCTGAGGACTCTGACATTTTCTGATGCCATGTCTCCCATCAGAGGGCTTCCCAAAAGGGTACATTAACATATGAAGTCCCATAGACTTTGAGAGGATGAAAGGAGACAATAACTCAGAAAGGGATAGTTGTCCGGACCTGCCCTGCCAACAATGCTCATGGAGCAGAGACCGTGTGCTCTCCCTTCTCTCACCATTTTGGAGTAGACCCTCAGGAGTTTTGTGCCTTCTGCACTTGGAGACGACAGGCAGATGGGGCTGTTCAATGAACTGCAAATAGATTCAAATGCCACAGCTGAAAAGATGGACTGTTTGGGGGGGGGGGGGGGGGGTAGTGCCATAAATACAGAGACTTTAAGTCCTGGTTTCATGCAGTGCTCCAAGAACTTTCTCAGGGACACCTGAAATGCCCCAGTTTTCCATTGCTCCTATAAAAACATATTTCTAAATAATTACAGAGTGTTAAAAATGGATTGCTGTACCCAGGGGAATTTGCTCTTTGTTTGCCAGGAACAAATAGGCCAAGAGAATGAGTGCTCAGCATCACGAGTGGTGTTTGAAGGAAAGAGCAAAGTCAAAAGCCTGTAGACATCACCAGAGATGCTCTTTTTTTCAAAGTGAATTTTTATTACATGCTGTCAGGAAAAACTCCTGCAAGTCGTGCTCCTGGGGGCTTGGGGATAAGGAGGCATCTCCTCATCTGAGAGTAGCGCACATGCTGCTGCTGACCCAGAGGAATCGCACTATTCTTTTTTGAAGTGACCTCTTCAAAACTATTCCTTTGCTTCTTAAGATGTTGCTTCCAAACAAGCACCAGGCTTTGATTGCAACAGTCACCTTCATAGTGGTTTGCACTTCAATGGCATTCTTGTGTCTCCTCTGAGAATCCCCAAGCCTTGAGCAAATACAAACCTGGAAATGTTCAAAGCATCCTGATGCCATCAGTACCTCTGCAAATTGTTTTTCACTTTTAGAGTATCCCCCTTGAGTTCTGTGTGCCTGAACAATCTGTTTCCTACTGTAACTGTGGTGTCCAGTGGAAAGAAGGTGAGAGATGGCTTCAATACACTCAGTTTTCCTTAATAAAAGTTGAAAACTGGCCTAAGACCACCCTCCCACTCACCCTTTTACACCCTTAGGAGAGGTCCAGGACAAGATGATTCCCCTATGGTTTTGTCAGGCTGAAGTACCTTACCCACAAGCATGGGTAAGGCTTGCTTGAGCCTGGGACTGGCTGGAGGCTCTACAAGAACAAAGGCAATGAAGTAGCTCTTCAGCAAGACTTATATGAAACATTAAATTTTTAATTAATATACAAACAAAGAGATCCCTTTGGGGTGAATTTTGCTGTCATCCCACTTGCTTCCCAGCTCGATTGCAGTCATGCCCCAGGCAGCAAAGAGCACTGGCTGCGAGACAGCCCTGCTACGCTTTGCTCCAGTTGGAAGTCCACACAGCTCCCTGGTGGTTTCCCTCTCCTCCCATGGGCACTCCTCACCAGGCCCTGCTGAGGAGGGTTTGCTGAGGGCTTGAGGACCCCGTGTGTGGCTGGCAGGAAAATCCCTCTCAGTGGTATCGCAGCCATCTCTGTGCCAGCCTTCGGTGTGCTGCTCACCCAAAGCCACCATCACAGTCACTTTGTAGCATCCTCTTACTTTTCCTGCTCCCCGGACCAAGGCTGTCAGGTCAAAGGTATATTCTACATGTATATGTACATGCATACATATATACATAGAAGTGTCCATACTGAGAAACGAGAGAGTTTTCATTCAGTATGTGACTTGGTAAGACCTATAGACCTATAGAGCAGTATAGGCCTATAGACCCCAAAGCTGTTCATGGCATGAGAGAAAGCCAGGTCAAACCCACCCATGTATAAGGAAGAAGTTCTTTACTGTGAGAGTGGTGAGGCATCAGAATGGGTTGCCCAAAGAAGTCATAAATGCTCCATCCCTGGCAGTGTTCAAGGCAAGGCTGGACAGAACCTTGGGTGACATGGTCTAGGGTAAGGTGTCCCTGCTCATGGCAGGAGGGTTGGAACTAAATGATCTTAAGGTCATTTCCAATCCCAACCATTCTATGATTCTATGATTCTATGTACATTGCCTCCTCAGCAGTGAGCAGTGCAGGTCTCTCCCATCCTCCAGCCTTCCAGCCCATGAATGTATTTTTTTATCAGTTATTTCTGGGTGTCTCATATTCAGTTCAAGGGGTGCCTGAAATCTCTGTGCACACACTAATCTGCACCTAGTATGTTGCGTACACATACAGGGACTGCAGGGACAAGTGTTTTCCAGCGTTTCTATCAACCCTCTTCCTTCTAGTCTCTCTGGTTGTTTGCTACTTCCACTTGCTGTGCCTTGTCTTAAATTAAACTGTAAGCCTGTCCTTGCTGGAGATATCTTTTATTGTGGGTTGTTGAGAGGGGTTTTGCAGAGAAACTGGAGCAGCAGATAGAGCTCTCCAGGCACTACTGAAATAATAATGAAGTAGTTTCACCAAGGTGGGACTGGAGAGTTGTTGTCGGCTGGGTCTGAATTCTGCTTGTCCCTGAAAATTGCTTAGGTAATAAGATAGCTGCTTTAAAATTGCTGGGGGTATCCCACAGGATTCTGCTTTGACTCTGATTTCCATTTGCAGCACATGTTCTGCCATTTGGCCTGCACCATCCACCGGTGTGAGCTAATTTAAGGTTGCTAAACAGATGACACAGAACATACATATTTTATATTTGATCTCTGCACTGGTGAGCTATCTGACTGATGGTTAATCTCAACTTGTAATAGGATTTGCCTACACTCCTCCAAAGCGAGATATTGGTCTGCTATAAAACAGTAGCTCAGGGAGAAGTGTGCCCAGGGCAAAAGGAGAGAATTAATCCCTATTTTTTTTGCTGCTTGTTTTCATAGATTGCATGTGGTGCTCCGTGCCTCTGCAGGGAACGACAGGATCACCAACCGAGGGGCTTGATTGCCAGCTCCATGGGCATCCCAACACGACAACAGGGTGAGGAGAGGCTCACCATCCAGCCAGGTCTTGGGTGCTCTGCACCCATCCTGAGCACGGGCTGAGCTCACTGGCTGGCCAGCCCTGTGCTCCACTTCCTGCCTTTGCTTATGATCATCAGAGTGTTGACTTGGAGGCTGTGTACATTTTGGGGTTTTACTTTGAGCCTGTGCCCACTTCATCAAGGGCAGTGCTCAGAAAGCCAACTATGAGGCACTGCCAATGTGCTGCGCTCAGGGCAAACCCCCCGTTTCCAAAACGATGTGCCTGCTCTGTGCCCTGCTCTGCTGGCTGTCAGTCCACCACCACCCTGGTGCTTTTTTCCACTTAGTTCCCTTGTGCCAGCTTGGCATCCAGAGGCACAGCAGGAACCGTCCGGGGACCATGCTCTGCAAGGAGCACACTGAGAGCATCCCATCATTATCCAACTTAAGGCAGATAAAGACGGGATGCTCCGCCAGCCCCCACAGAGGAAGACAAGGCTCTGGGCACTGGCAGATGCTCCTCCTAGTGCACCCAAGGGAGGCAAGAGGACTACAAAACCGTGGAGACCATAAAATCCAATGCTTCTGATCATACGACAATTTGTATTGACATTTTAACTGCTATGGTCACATAGTGCTTGACCCACATGTGCAAATGAAGGATAGCAAAGAGAAGGCATGAACATGGATGTCCCCAGTAAAAATCTGACTCATGCAGGCAAAACCTTCTTGTCCTGAAATAATAGCAGATAAGGACAGCAAAGGTCACAGGCAGAACTAGAGAGTGCCCTGGATTGATGCTGTGTTTTCTAGTTGATGTGGGTTTGAGGTAGGTGTTAATTGCACAGTTTAGAAGGTTTGTCCAGGTTTTTAACAGTGTAATATCGTGCCAGCATGAAGTTTGAGATCTGTTCCTCTTTTCTTGTGAAGGTCAGCAAGTAACTTCTGATGTGTGAGACAAGAGCCAGACAGTGCCAGTAACAGGGCAGTGAGGTCTGAGTCCCATCCCACCTCTCCTGATGTGCTCCCTGCTTCAGTCAAAGGGTAAGGTGCCAGGCGTGGTTGGGCTTAGGTCCTGACTCGTCGCAGTGGCAGTTCCCCAGGGCTGTATGCCTGTTGTACATTAACTAACCTGCACTATGGAAGAAAGGTCATGTATGCAACCTGGGGGGAAAAAGCAACACACCAAAAACCCCATAAGTCACCCATGTTTCAGACCTGAGCTGACTCAGCTTTCCATGGAATTGTGTTTCTGCACTGGGCAGCATCACCCCATAGCATGAAATGTTAGTACAAATGATGCAATTGTGCTACATGCAGACATTTATTAGCAATATCCATGTTACAAGACCTGGATCTGGCTGTTATCCCATCCTTTCTGAATATACTGTTAAGGCAGTTGAACTTAAATTTAGTGCTGTGGCTTTCGGGTTTGCTTTGGCACAGTATGACATTCAGGATTCCTTTACAGGCAACTGTGCAAAGCAGGAAAATCTACGTGAAATGCTTCCTACTGGAGTAACCATCTGGCCAATATTCATCTTGTTTAGTGAAATACCAAGATATCCATAGAACGCAGGTGTTAATGCAGATCATAAGGCACAAGTGACCGCAGTAATAAACCAACATGCAATGAAATGCAATTAACGCACCTGGTGCTTGGGTTTGACAAGAGTTTCAGTGCCTTTTTATTTTCCCTGCACACTCATGTGCATTTTAATAGTTGGAACTTCAATCATCACTTCTCAACCAACCCTTTAATCGTATAAATTCCTTTAAAAAGTGAACTGCAATGTTTGCTAGTAAACAGTATTTCATAATTTAGCCAGGAGGAGGGAAAAAAGTGGAAGCACACACGAAACTATATGCTGCTTAGTAGCGTTCTGTGCCATGAAAAAGACTATTGTCCTGTTTCTGTCGGTCTGGTTCTGCTGCTGGCAAAGGTTTGCTTTCAGTCGTGTAATCCTTGTTGATACATTCCTAGTGCTTTTGAACCAGCTGGAACAGGTGAAAAGATCCCAGCGAAGAAAATAAATGATTAAGCTTTCTATCAGTGGCTTTCGCAGTGTGTTTTTCATCTCACCTCTGACCTGCATCAATAACAAACGCATTTTGGTAAAGTTAAATCCCCCCAGGCCAACATTTGTTCCAAGCAGACAAAACCAACCCAACACGGGAGATGCAGATTTTGTGTGTGTGTGTGTCTGTGGGCTCCAGGAAATCCCATTACTTTCCCATGCCTTTTCGGAGCAGAGCTCTCAGCCCATCTCGTTAATCAGCTGGCGAACCCCGAGCAGACAGGGCATGTGGGGGGAAAGGGAGAGGTCGAGAGTCAAAGACAAGGGTCACGGGTAATTTTTATTCTCGTATGGGTCTCTCTCTCCAGGGTGGTCTGGAGGGTGTGAGGAACATAAATCTACACAGGGACACTTGTACAGTGACAGAGAGGGACAGTCCCATCGAGTGACTTCCCAACCTGGTGCTATTTAATAGGGATTCACAGTGTGTTTGGCTCCCCAGAGAAATGTCTGCTGCTGGCACTTGCATTGCTCAATGCCTTTCCCCAGACTCCACACAGATCACTCTGCGTTTTGCCACCAGTGGTCAGTGCTAAGCCACCATAGTCAGCTGATGAACTAGGGCCAAGGGGCAGACATGCCAGCCAGGCATGGGGGGTGCTGCTCCACCGCCGTTACGGACTCTGGCTACATTTTCACCTTCAGCAAAGGAGCATCCCTGTAAAGCAGACTTTGGCTCTGAGTCAGTGAGGACAGGCTGATAAGGGTCACTGCCAAGTGACAGAATACCCTGCGTCATGCAGCTGAGGGTGCATCATGGGACCTTGGCAGCATCCCCATCTTCCACGAGCCAAAGGAAACTATGAGACGGATAGTCCACATTGCTTCATGCTGCTGCTTCTTACTGTGTTCAGACACAGACAAAGAAATTAAGGAACACTTGCTGGTTCCAGCTTCTCTCACTGGCCTCCTTACAGCATTTCTTTTCTGGGTAAGCCCTGGAGGGGGCAGAGCCAGTGTGGGGTGGGAGCATGGGAAGTCACAGTGAGGGAGGCTGTCCATCAGGCTGAGCAGGGCTACAGAAGGGCTGATGTCCCCTCCTGTCTTCATCCACCCCAGCATCTCTCCAATCCCTTCAATAGCCTGGCTCAATTTTAGGAAAGAAGCTCCTTAGGGACACTCTCAGTGCTTCCTTACCTCTCTTTTAGCACCATATCCTACTAACAGGTCTCCTCAGGCACCTGAATTATTCATAAATCAGTAACCTCACAATAGAGCAGCAGTAGCAAGAACACTTGAAGCACTCAAAACAAACACCCACCAAGAGAACCGGGTGCTGTGAGCAGCACCAACCAGGCTCTCCTGACCCCCAGCACTTGGAATGACTAAGACAGAATCACCAATCTAATTTTTTACTTCTTGACCTAAATCAGCTTTGGACCCAGGCCCACAGAGGTGAAAGGTTAATGCATTAAGCTGTATGCTCTTCAATTAATCCTTAAGTCCTGGGCAGATTTACAAACTATTGGAAGATTTTAAATCACACCTGATTTATGAGATGCCCTTGTTAAGTTCAGATTGCCTTTACAGATGGTCACCATACAGGGCAATAAGGATAATTACTATACAGATGTATCACCAGGATGGAAATATAAATTTCCAAAATAATGTATACCTGTCTATCTGACACAGGCACATTCTGAGCATCTCTAGGGTTAAACTCCACATCTTTTTATTTCCTACATGTCTCAAGAAGAAATCACTTGTACTGAGGAGAAGTTGTCAGCAACTGACAACTGAAGGCAAAGAAATCCTTCCACCAAAACAGCAATGCAAGCAACTTGTTGAAAATTAAGCAATACACCATTGTGGCACCAAGCATTTTTGCACATAATTCCTTGGGAGGAAGCTTATGGTCTTTACAGGATGATTTTGACATTGGAGAGCCTTGAGGATGTGTGGAGGGGTGTCAGAAGCTATGGGAGTTGGCAGGCTAGTTTATTCCCAAGTGCTCTGTGTCAATGAGAAAGGAAACTTGAAGCCTAAGGTGCACAGATTGTTTTAATTGCTTTTAGTGCCTATAAATATAATTGCATATTTAGTGCTCTTAGAAGCCTCCTGAAGCCCCCACTGCTGTCCGGCAAAGCACAACCAACAGTCAGGCACAACAGTCCAGGAAAAGACATGGTGCCATTATCAGAAACAGTAATGATGCCAAGGAAGCTCTTTCCCAGGGTAAGCAGTCAATCTGCTCAGCTAACAGAAAGGGCTGGGCTGTAGGCTGCAGTAAGGTGAATCCATGCACTCTGTGTTAATCTCATGACAAAGATGACCAGTTGCCAACAAAAGATTCAGTCTCCAAGAGCTTTTACAGGCACAAAGCCGTTTACTGACTCTCAGAAAGCGCACATGAATCACTCCCAGCGCTTGTGACTCACGGCTGCTCACCAGCCTGAGGTATTACACACTTTGTATCAGAGGTAGCAATTTCCAGTGACTTTCCCACCCAAGTGGATTTAAACCAGCAATGCAGGAGGGAAGAGGCTGTGTGCAGCCCCAGGCTCTTAAGAGCAGCTGCACACTGCTATGGAGGAGGCCAGTCCCAAAAGATGCAGGACAAACTTCGCTCACGTTGCCTCTGCAGACATCTATCAGCTCAGTCGTTATTGTTGAACATGCTCTTTGTTTAAATACTGTAATGTCCAGAAAGGACTTTCATCTGTCACAATTTGAAAAACAACAAATTCCTCTTTCTTTTTGTATTTCCTCAGCAGATCCAGTCCTTTATGCAGAAATACTGTATTATAGCTACTTGGAAAAGAGAGGGTGAGGAGTGGGAAGGGGAAATTGCCAGTGTCCCGGCACCATCAATTTCTATCAGCTATGCTCTGGGAATAGCATGTAGCTGTTAATTGCCGCTGCAGATCCAGCAGATGGTGCGTAAGGCATTGGATTTAATGGAGCCCCTCAAAAAGAGTGGCATCTGTTTGTTTAATTTCTTGGCAACAGAAAGGCAGATTTAAAAAACAAACAAACTAAATTGGACATTTAGCTATGGATGCCCCCCTAACAGATTATAAATGTTTTAAGATAAATAGGTCAAATGAAAGAAAGTATCAATAGACACATTTGAGAAGTAAGTTAAACTTTTAGACACTGGCTCTTTGAAAGATCAGGTTTTCAACACAAGGCAAAGAAACTCCTTAAAAAGGTTTTTAAATGAAATATTGATACTATCCCTTTGACTATGAATTTGCCTAAATGTCTGTGGAAATGCTACAAACACTAATTCAGAAACTAATATATACTGCCTTTTTCTCTCACACACACCCGCTGAAGTTAAAATATAATCTCTACATCTAGACACTTGTATATAATCATGTGCATCTTCTACATTTGAAAATAGCAACAGAAAGTAAGGCAGGGAGAATCTGCAGTCCCTCTCTTTAACAGCTGGGACAAGCAACTTGCAGGAGCTATTGCGGTGGCTATTGCTGCCATAGCTCCAGTATTAACATTACTCCCACTGTTCCTGGAAATTTGTTGTAGCAGAAATTGCCGTAGCAAAATGTGCCATGGATCTATCCGTAGTAGGTATTATATTATCTCTAACAATGGTCAGACCTGGAGCTTTGCACAAGAATGTAAACGCCATCTTGATCTTTCTTTCAATGTTGCACCATGAGGAAACATTCCTAGCCTCTCTAGCACACAGCTTCCCAAAGCACGAGGGTGGATGACTCAGTGAATACCTCCTCCCTGTGTACCTTTTTGGGGAAGTCTTCTGCACCATTAGTCAGATTGAAGGCATGCTTCGTATTTTCCCTGTTTTAAAGCAGAGTTCAGATGGGATGCTCAAGCTGAGAAACAGCCCATGTGGCCTCTCTGTTTCCAGCTGCTGATCCAAGAACACCCTGCTCATGACTCTTTCCTACCAGTTAACTCCCATGTTGATTGCTGCAGGCTGGGCAGAGTCTGCCTATCTGTGCCAGAGAGATCTTCCCTTGGCCTTTTTTGGGGATGGCAGCTGCAGCGGGGCTGCACCACCCAGGCACATGTCTCCTTGGCCGTGCTTGGACCAGGCACTGTCTGGACCTGCCGATACTGCTGCCTTGCCCATGTGCCCACCCTGGCGAGCTTTGCTTATGCTGAAGGTATGTTTTTCCAGGGGCTCATTTTGTTTCATGCAGCAGAGATGGAAGTGTTGTTCACCTGACATCAGGTCTGGGCATAGAAGTGCACCAACCTGTGCATCCCTCAGAAGAGCTTCCTCTGGCAAGTGTCAGTGGACTTCCACTGTGACTTCTCCAGGTGAAAAAGACTGACTTTAATCTGTGTGGCTCTGTACAGCTGGTGCAGGCTGACCTTGGAAAATGGGGGGGGGGGGAGTGTCTGAAGTTTCCTTGAGCAGGAAGAGTGTGTTACAACACCCCACTGAGCCCTTACCCTGGAGCCTACCTGAACACACAGTCCTCAGCACGTCCCCAACCCTCCTTGCCCAGATGCTCATTTGCTCTATTCCACGTGCACACGAATGAGGAAGTAAAAGTGAAGTTGCAGCACCATAAACCGACCGTTAATATTTTACCCTGGTGAATGCATTCTTCAGGGACACATATATCTAAATATAGTCACAGGCTATAGTCTAACCAACATTTTTACAGCTCTTTATTGAGGATACCAAAGATAAATCTTTCACTTTTTTTGTTTTACTATTCAAGTAATAACTTTCAAACACTACAGCTGTTAAAATAAAAAAGGGCTGAGTTGTTCACATAGCGTATACACCTTGATAATGTCGAGTCAGTTATGATGGAGCAAACCTTCTCCCTCTGTTTCCCTATCTGTGAGTAGGGAATAATAGCATGCAGATAATATTAACATCCAGTTTTTCTCTCTCAAGGAGATAAACCCAAGAGCTATGCAGTCTTACTATTACAATTTCAGCACCTTGTATTCTTATGTCAACAGAAGACTAAGACTGCTAAAAATACGATAGTGCTCTTATTTCAGAAGATGTTTTGTTTCTGAT